TGGGGGAGGGATGGGGGGGAGGAAGGAGAGCCTGACCCCGGGCGGTAGGGCTCTGGGGGAGGGATGGGGGGGAGGAAGGAGAGCCTGACCCCCGAGTGGCAGGGCTCTGGGGGGAGGAATTGGGGGGGGGGGAAGGAGAGTCTGACCCCGGGTGGCAGGGCTCTGGGGGAGGACGCGCACCATTGACAGAAACAGCATAGTGTGGACGTTAAAAATCAAATTAATTACTCCAGTGGCTGTATGTCGACTTAAGTTGACTTAATTTTGCACCGTAGAAATGCTCTTAGTTTGATGGGGGCAGGAGACAAAGGCCCACAGATACGTCCAAAACACAATGAGCTGGGTGAACGGTCAGAATCTGGGGGGCAGATGGACAATCATAGCAGGGTCAAAGGAGAGACAGAAGGGAATGTAGGAGGGAAATCTAATGTACATCTTATCTGTTTGTAGACTAACGCAAGAAGTTCGGGGAATTCACTAGTATTTCTAGTTCTTCCTGTTAAGAGTCACAGTTACAACAGAACTGGTATCACAGAGACTCAGTGAGATAATTCACATGACTAGAATATTAGTATATTATATTAGGGTACAGGCTGTTCAGGAAGAACAGGCAAGGAAAAAACAGATGAGGTGTTGTCTTGTATGGCAAAGTTGTCTTCACTTGGACTAAGGTCGAAATAGAAGTGGGAGGCAGCCCTGTTGAAAGTCTCTGGGTAAGGATAGAAAGGATAAAAAAACCACAAGGGTGATGTCATGGTAGGAGTCTGTTACAGACCACCTGACCAGGAAGAAGAGGTGGATGAAGCTTTTTTTAAAACAACTAACAAAATCATCCAAAGAAGTAGTGACAGGGGACTTCAACTTACCCAGACATCTGCTGGGAAATGATAGAGTGCATGATCCTAACGAAACGGTAGGAGGGAAAACAAGCAGAATAAAGACATTAGACTTCAAGAAGGGAGACTTTAGCAAACTCAGAGAATTGGTAGGCAAGATCCTGTGGGAAGCAAGTCTACGGGAAAAAAAGAGTTCAGGAAACTTGGCAGTTTTTTTTTTTTTTATTAAAGAGACATTATTAAGGGCACAAGAGCAAACTATCCCAGTGCATAGGAAAGATAGGAAGTAAGGTATGTGACCATCCTGGTTTAACCAGGAGATCTTCAATGACCTGAAAGGGAAAAAATGTCGTACAAAAAGTGGAAACTAGGTCAAATTACAAAGGGAACATAAAAAAACCCAAGACAAGCATGTAGGGACAATATTAGAAAGGCCAAGGCACAACACAAGATTGCACTAGCCAGGGACATAAAAGGTAACAAGAAAACATCTTACAAATACATGAGAAGCAAGAGGAAGACCAAGGACAGGGTAGGCCTGTTACTCAATAAGGGAAAGACAACAGAAATTCAGCAATGGTGGAAGTGTTAAATGCCTTTTTTGTTTCAGTTTTCACCAAAAAGATTAACAGTGATTAGATGACTAATGTAGTGAACATCAGTGTAAATGGGGCAGGATCTGAGGTCAAAGTAGGGAAAGAATGAGTTAAGAATTACTTAGACAAGTTAGATGTCTTCAAATAGGCAGGCCCTGACAAAATATAACCTAGAATACTTAAGGAACTGGTTGAAGAAATCTCTGAGCCATTAGCAATTATCTTTGAGACCCCAGAGGATTGGCAAAGAGCAATATAATACCCATCTATAGAAACAGGAATAAAAGTAACCCAGGGAATTACAGACCAGTCATCTTAACTTTGGTACCCAGAAAGATAAGGGAGCAAATAAACAATCAGGGTGTAAGCACCTTGAAGATAGTTAGTAACAATCAACATGGATTTGTCAAAAACAAATTATGTCAAACCAACCGAATATCCTTCTTTGACTGGGTAACAATCCTTGTGGCTAGGAGGGAAACAGTAGATGCGATATAGCTCAACTTTAGTAAGCCTTTTAATACTGTCTCATAGGACCTTCTCATAAGCAAACTATGGAAATACAGCCTAGATGAACCTACTAACAGGTGGGTGCACAGATGATTGGAAAACCATACTCAGAAAGTAGTTATCAATGGCTCACAGTCAAACTGGAAGGGCATATTGAGTGGGGTCCTGCAGGGATCTGTCCTGTGTCCGGTTCTATTCAGTATTTTCATAAAAGATTTGGATAATGGCACAGAAAGCACATTTATAAAGTTTGTGGATGATACCAAGTTGAGAGGGGTTGCAAGCACTTGGAAGGACAGGATTAGAATTCAAAATGATCTTACAAATTGGAAAAATGGTTTGAAATACATAAGATTGCAATTCAATAAGGACAAATGTAAAGTACTACACTTGGGAAGGAATAATCAATTTCACAAATACAAAATGGGAAATGACTGCCTAAGAAGGTGTACTACAGAAAAGGTTCAGGGGTTATAATGGATCACAAACTAAATCTGAGTCAACAAAGTAACACTGTTGCAAAATAAGTGAACATCATTCTGGGATGTATTAGCAAGAGCGTTGTAAGTAAGCCCCAATAGGGAATTCTTCCTCTATACTCAGCACTGATAAGGCTTCTGTTGGAGTACTGTATCCAGTTCTGGGTACCATACTTCAGGAAAGATGTGGACCAACTGGAGAGAGTTCAGAGGAGAGCAGCAAAAATGATTAAACATCTAGAAAACACAACCTATGAGGAAAGATTGAAAAAAATGGGTTTATTTAGTCTGGAGAAGACTGAGGGGGAGGGACATCATAACAGTCATCAAGTATGTAAAAGATTATTATAAAGAAGAGGGTGATAAATTGTTCTCCTGATGCACTGAGGACAGGACAAGAAGTAATCGGCTTAAATTGCAGCAAGGGAGATTTAGGTTAGACATTAGGAAAAAATTCCTAATCGCAAGGGTAGTTAAGCACTGGAACTAGGGTGACCAGACGTCCTGATAAAATCGGGACCGTCCTGATTTTGAGCTGTTTGTCCCGCGTCCTGACCAATCTCAGGTCGGGACGCAATTTTTGTCCCGATATTTTGCACTGGCTTTTTTTTGCTCTTGGCCGGCCGGCAGCACTCAACTTATTTTTTTTTTGCCCCCACCGGTGTCCCGATATTTTCTTCGTCTCATCTGGTCACCCTAACTGGAACAAATTACCGAGGGAGGTTGTGGAATCCCCGTTCGCTGGAGGTTTTAAAAAGCAGGTTAGACAAACACTGGTCAGGGATGGTCTAGATAATACTTGGCCCTGCCTCACTACAGGGGACTGGACCACATGTGGGGTGACCAGGTGTCCGTTGAAAAGGGACCCTGGTGGCTCCGGTCAGCAAAAGTCCGGTTGACGGTACTGCGGAGCTAAGGCAGGCTAGTCCCTACCTGTCCTGGCTCCACGCTGCATCCTGCTGGCTGCTTCTGGGGCACAGTGTGGTCCATGGTGCCAGGACAGGAAGGAAGCTTGCCTTAACCCCCCCACTGTGCTGCTGACCGGGAACCGCCAGAGGTAAGCCCATGCCCCAACCCGCTGCCGTGAGCCCCCCCGTACCCAGAACCCCCTCCTGCACCCCAAGCCCTCATCCCTGACCCCACCCCAGAGCCTACACCCCCCAGCTGGAGCCCTCACCATCCTGCACCCCAACCCTCTGCCCGAGTCCAGAGCCCCCTCCCACACCCTGAACCCCTCTGCCCCACCCCCAGCCTGGAGCCCCCTCTTGCACCCCAAGCCCCTCATCCCTGGCCCCACTCGAGCCCACACCCCCAGATGGAGCACTTACCCTCCCTGCACCCCAACCCCCTGCCTCAATCAGCAGCCCCCTCCCGCACCCTGAACCCCCATCCCAGCCCCACCCCAGAGCCCACACCCCTAGATAGAGCCCTCACCTCCTCCCACACCCCAAGCCCCTGCCTCAGCCCAGTGAAAGTGAATGAGGGTGTGGGAGAGCAAGCCACCGAGGAAAGGGGAATGTAGTGACCGGGGGTCGGGGGGAGCAGGGCCTCAGGGAAGGGGCGGGACAGGGGCATGGCCTTGGGGAAGGGGCGGGGCTAGGGTGTTTGGTTTTGTGGGATTAGAAAGTTGGCACCCCTAACCACATGACCTATTGAGATTCCTTCCAGTCCTACAATTCTATGATTCTATTTACTCTTACAACACTCCTGTGAGATATGGAAGTGCCTTTATCCCCATTTTACAGATCACCGAGGCAGAGAGAGGCTCGGTGCCAGATTTTTACAGGTATCGATTTGCCGAGGGATGCAGCTAGGTACTCAGTGGAATTTTCAGAAGCAGCCAGGTGCCTC